GCACGGAACGCTGTTACCTTCCCACCAAAGTGGTCCCTATTTATCTACTTGCAGTTTCTTGCTTTCGAACTGCTAGGTTGGCAGGAGCTGGAACAAGAGACGGGAGCTCACTCCGTTATGTGGCACCCAGGTCTCGAACTGCTGAACTACTGACCTTCCACAGCCGGCAGTTCAGCGTCTTAACCACTTGAGACACTGCAGCTCAACATCAGGGGAACTCACCTTTAAAAAGTGTTCCTTCTCTCGGTTCTGCAGCGGAGGAGAAAAAGCTTCCTGTTCCTCTCCCCGCCCCACTTTGTGCAGCAGGAAGGGTTCGGTCCTTTTCTTTCTCTCCATATATCCTTCCATGTGCTCCCTGGGCCCTTTCCACTGGCAAAAGTGTAGTGGGAGGGAAGCCGAAAGCTCCTTCCTCCCCCTTGCAGTGCTCCTTCACAGCACCAAGCAAACAAGTGCTCTCAAAGGTGAGTTCCCAAGATGTGTGTCTGACTGTGAGTCCGGTTGTGCACCCATGACCCAGCATGTGTCAGCACATCTTTATAGTCACACCCTCAGCGACACAGTTTAAGAAATCCCTAGGCTGAATCTCACTTCTGCCTCAGCTGGCCACACTGTCTCAGGACCAGCCCCGTCTGTACTGACTGACTTTTTACACACTTGTGGTAGTAGGGACTACAATACAATGTTTGTGAAGCATTTTGAGGGACTTAAAAGCTCCCTAGAAATGCTAAGTAGTGTTATTTTATTGTAACCAACATAGAAGAACTCTGTTGCAACTACGGGTCTGCTTTGTAAGACATTTCTTTCTCTAAAGTTTTCGGTAACGGCATATTAGTACGGGCCGGCTCTGCTTACATCAACTTGGACATAGACAGGGATCTGCTTGTGCAAGAAGGGGGGGCAGTTTCTGCTGGCTCTCCCCCTTCTTTCCGGTGTAGTTTCCTGCATCACATCCTGTACCTTTTTTTTTAGTGTTCCCTGACCTCCCCCCCCCCAACCCACGGAGTGCCTTTTCATGGGATACACAGGCTGCAGCATGAAGGTTGTTGAAGGCCTGTGGCTCAGTGGTAGAGCATCTGGTCAGCATGCAGAAGGTCCCAGGCTCAATCCTTGGCATCTATAGGTGAAAGGACCAAATAGGAGGTGATGTGAAAGACCTCTACCAGGGACCCTGGGGAGCCACTGTCAGTCTGAGGAGGCAATACTGACTTTGATGGACCAGTGGCAGATTCAGTAGAAGGCAGCTTTATGTCACCTGTCAAGCCTGAGGCTGTTCCTTGGGTACAAACCCCAGTAGATGTCATCGTTTCAAACTCTCTGTAACTGCGTTCGTATTTCTAGAAGCCTGTTTCTCTGATATACCAAAAAAGGCACTCCTAAGTATCTATAGCTCTATGCATACTAATCTCTATGTTGTTGCCACTTATAGTTTGAATCAAAGCTCACAAAGGTCCTGAATAGTCTATTGCTTTTGTATAACTGAATTACCTAACATAGTTCAAATTCTTAACTGGTAAGCAGTTGTTTTAGGTAAGCAAAATCATTCTGATTGTTACAAAAGTTTGATAATTTTTTTAAAAATGCGGTGGGATGGATAACGGAAGATTCTCCTCCCTCTCTCCTCTCAAACTACAGCATTTGAAAACGTCATCTTTTCAAAGTTGACCTAAGTCTGATGAATTATCAGTACTTTCTCACTAGCCTCAGACTTTTTTTCTAAACTCTGGACGTATATCAGAGACTCCTTAGAAGGCCCTTAATTAAAAAATTTTTTAAAAAAAGAACCAAAAGAAATGCTCTGGAAGTACAGCATTGTAGGCCAACCGCCCCCCCCCCCCAAACACCCAAAAAACCCCCTCCAAAAATGAGTTACATTTCTGAAGATCTCAGCAATTGCGTGGGAGACCTGGCTTCATTTTTGTCTGCGCCTACAAAAAATTAGGAGCAACCTACAAAGGGTCTTTAGAGGCCAAGGCAGGGCATGTCACCATTTTTGTGAGTTTTTTTCCTCCCAGCAATAGCCAGCTTCACTTATACAATTTCACCGTTGCTTAGAAGCTCGGCTTTTAGAGCGTAGGTGTTAACTGGCTCAATATGTCAGAATCCATAAGTGCTTTCTGAGCAAGCAGGGCCGTTTTGCCTCAGGTCAGCTTAATCTTGCTGTATTACTTGAGATCTGTTCTTGGAAGCTAATTTTCTTCCTGTCCCTCTTCCCCCCCCCCATCCCCTCTGTCCCCAGACGAATTCTCTGAGCGAGCCGGAAGCGCAGGGACCCAAGGCAGAGGTCTCTTCCTCCACCTCTCTTGTGACTGCTGAGCAGCAGCAAGAAGTAAGTAATCATCAGCCGTTTTCTACTGTCTCAAGTCAACCACTCTGGGGAGCCTTTTGTTTATAATTGTGTGTCACAACCACAACTCCATAAAAAAAGAGGCCTGGTCTGCACCCAGTGTGTTCCTTTGTAGGTGCTTGTCAGCATTTCAACATTTGTGCTTTTCTGTGAATGCTTTTGGTTTGCTGCCCCGTTCACTTCACCTCCCCTTCCCCCCCCCCCCCCCCCGTCTTCTTGTTTCCCCTCACTTTCTCACTGCCTACCTGCCGCCGCTTGCTTTAGAGTGCAGGCTTTCCTATGAGTCTTTCTGATTTGCAGCCCGCTTCTAGTAAATCCTGAACAATGCTGCATTTCGCAGTGATCCGCTCTTACTGCTAACCTTCTAAAAGAATTCTCTGCAAACGCTGCTCGCCCAAATGTAGCTCTGATTTGAGAACTTTCTCAGAAGCCCTCGCTCAACTGTAGTTTTTTGCAATTCAGGAACCAATTCGGCTTCAGAGGATGCCTGCTGCTCCCTCCCCCACCATTCAGTCCATTTCTCTAGCTGTACCAAAGGTAGGGGAGCCTTGATGACTTGTTTTGGTTAGAAGTGGGAGGCGGGGGGGGGGGGTAGAAATGGCTGTCGCTCATACACGATCCATCCGTATGCTTGTTGTGTTTGTGTTGTGGTAACGTCAGTAAAATGACCGGGACTGTGTTGAGACAGGGTTGTGACCCACTCAGTTGCACACAGCCTACTTTTCTGTTTTTTATGTCCCGTTTGGGCTCTGTATCCCACAGGGGGTTGTGGGAACCAGGGGACTGTCAATCACCTGGCAGGCCACAATGCAAAATGGACGGTCTGTGTTTGTCTGGGAGCCCGCCCACCCCTTCCAGGATCCCATGAATTGGGGTCTTGTAGAGTTTGCCCGCCCCAAGTTCCTTGTCAACTGGTGCCAGTTTCTCAGAGAGCCCTCGCCCTGTGCCTTCTGATTTACCTTTTGAGTTTCTGTTTTCAGCCCAAAGCTCACCAGCTCAATATCAAGTCCTTTTCAAGCCCTACCCAATGCAGCCATTGCACCTCCCTCATGGTGGGATTGATCCGACAGGGCTATTCTTGCGATGGTAAGTCAGTTTTAAGTCTCCAAAACAGTCCTCTGTTGTTGTTGTTTTTTTAAAAAAACAGCATAACTTTTTAATATTTATATGGCAGCTGCTTGAAACGAAAGCATGCATTTGAACTCTGCGCACCTGAGCTTTAGTATACATGAGCATCTCTTCTATGTTATCAGGCTTTAAGTGGCAGCAGGAACATCATTTTCAAAGGCATGTGTTTACTTTCGGGTTTCATACCATTCTTTTGAGAGCCAGTTTGGTGTAGTGGTTAAGTGCACAGGCTCTAATCTGGGAGAACATAGTTCTGTCAAGAGCTGTTCTTGAAAGAGCAGTTCTCTCAGAGCTCTCTCAGCCCCGCCTATCTCACAGGGTGTCTGTTGTGGGGATGGGAAGGAAAATAAGTTTGTAAGCTGTACTTAGGATGGTTTAATGTTCAAAGCTCAATCACCCTCATTTTTGTGGTCTTTACAACAGCCCTGTAAGGTGGGCCAATATAATTATCCCCACATTGCAGGTGTGTGTGGGGGGGGTTGAGGCTGAGAGAGATGCTTACCTGTAGGCTGTTTTATAAATTCGTGGCAGAAGTGACAATTGAATTAGAAACCTTCCTGCATTACAGGCTCATTTTTCTTGGCCACTGAGCTGGACAGTCTTTCCAGAAATGCATTTCATAAGCAAATTAAAATTAAAGTTTAAAAATAAACTGGATTAAAATAAGCCGTCCAAAATACAGAACATGGTTTCTGATTTAAATGTTTGTAAAAGCAGTTGGAGTCTGTATACCATTTTGCCGTGATAAGAGGAATTCCTATCTGACCTACCCATAGAAAAGGACCTATACAGAAGCTTTTAAAAGGCTGACTTATTCAAGTCTCTGGTCGAAGTGGCCTCTGGTCGCTGCTGTTTAGAACACCAGCAGTGCAATCCTGTGCAGAGTAACTCCGTTCTAAAGCCATTGATTTCAGTGGCCTCAGACTAGAGCAGGGGTCCCCCCAACCTTTCTGAACTTGTGGCCACCTTTGGAATTTTGGGAGGGGATGGCAGAGCCGAACCCGAAATGGCTGCCGCACAAGGCCGTGTCACAGTCCCTGGGGGCAATGGAACCATTCACACAGACTAAGGAAATCCTAGATGCTTACAAGCCCCGGTGATCCTCTAGTGCGGCGGTGGCCAACCTTGCTTAACGCAAGATCGAAGTAGAGACAACGTCAGATGTTTGAGAGCCGCGAGACATGAACAGGTATTACCTGTTTTTACTGGGAAATATGCAGGTCTGCTTTTTATTAACATTAAATGAGGCTGCCTAAAATAATAACAAAAGCGGTAAAAGCAGATAGTGATGATGATATTTATTTCTCCAATGATATTTGTTTGCTAATGATACTTAGCTTCTCCATCCGCCCTGCCGGGAGCCGCACAATGTGCGTGAAAGAGCCGCATGCGGCTCCCGAGCCACCGTTTGGCCACAGTTTGACTGCTTATTATCGCATCCATAGAAAACCCTTCCATTTGAATGAAACCAACCTATAACAAGCCCTGCCTTACAGTGGTCCCGCCTACTTTCTGAAAAGCTCAGCGTGCACCAAGGGAAGTAGTGTTGGGCACCATGAAACCCACGGGCACCGCATTGGGGGACCCTGGAGTTGAGTAACCTTGCATAGGATTGCATTGTGAGCGTCTGACTATGCAAGCTGTGTTGGTCCTTTTCCTGCCCATATTGTGGTTTGTTTTGTTTGTTCTTAAAATTAAGCTTTCTGGAAAACCAGTAAACAGCCTATGGGCACCTTAAGCATTGGAGTGCCGCAGGACTGTGGCTGGAGAAGAAGAAACAACAAACATCCCATCAGCAATTTTGGTCGTATAATTTTAGGAGCATTGAGATTTCTCATTGTTTTCCCAGTGTTTGCCGGTTGTGCAATTTTAAGTGTGAACACGGAAAGCAAAGTGCACTTGAGTGATTCTCTGTTCACATATGTTCTCAGTTCCTCTTGTGATCTGTCGGTTTTGTGTTTGTAACAGCTTTTGACAAATTCACCTTTTCTTATTCAGTGTGCTCATTCGCCTGCCATGTTTCCTGTAAGGACAGCGCGCCCCAGGTCTGCCCGATCCCTCCAGAGCAAGCCAAGAGACCCCTTGGAGTCGACGTTCAGAGAGGAATAGGGACGGCTTACAAAGGCTATGTCAAAGTAAGTCACTAACGCCCCGGCGGAAAGGCTGACTTCTCACCTGCGGAGCTTCTTATGACAATGGCATGATCTGTCAACCCCCTGCATTGACAATCGGCAATCAATTTTGATTGTGGTGATCCTTTAACAATCCAGTTCAATGCTGTATCAAATTATGACACTGCAAAATGTGAGTGCGCAAATAAGGGAAACATAAGAGCTGCAGAGCCTTCCTTGCTGGACTTGACTTTGTGTCACAAATTGTTCTGTAGCTGTGATATGGTCTAGTACTTATTATTTGAAATTATTGACCTCTGTTATTCGCCGCCCGAAGTACTTTTTTTACAAGGGCAGGTTATAAATATTGTAAATTAATAAATATTCAGAATGGACTGTCCTTAAGTGCTTGGTTTTTAAGCCTCCGTTCAAAAGTCCTCACTCAGCAAGAAATGGAACATTAGTTTTCATTGAGCAAACAGTCTCAAGGTATTGGAAACACAGCAGTGCCTAACAAATTGATGCATGCAACAGACTGTTTGGCTCCTGTGGATCTCTGAAACGTGTGTCTTAATAGTGGTGCATGCCCATTACTTATTTACTTACTTACTTCATTTATCACCTACCTTAGTGAGACTAAGGGCAGATTACAATATATAGATATAGATATATAGCTATATAGATATTTAAAGACAGCATTAAAGCATCCAGTAAACAATGCAATTATGACTAGGATTGCAGAATTAAAAAAGGCCACAACCCAGATTGCAGAATTAGAAAAGGCCACAAACAGAAGATGGTCCAAGGCGTGGCCCACCAAAAACCAGTGGTTGGTAGAGAGCCACATTCACAGTGACCGTCAGCCAGAAGAGCTGCATGACTGCTAGGTTGCCCTGTGCACCAGCCCACCCAACACACTTACACTAAAATACAAATATCAATATTGAATGTATAACTGTAACCTCTGAGAATGTAAGCTTGTCTGTCTCTCCCCGTGCTGAACCTTAGCCGGCTCTTGAGTATCTGGAGTGAGGGGAAGATCTTGCAGGTCAGATTTATGGCACAAATAGAACTGTGTGCAAGCTTGCAAGATCTCCGAAACTCTTCATTAAGAAGGATGTGAAAAGATAAGAGTACCCTTCTGTTTTTTTAAATTATATTTAGTTTTTTTGACATCATAAGACAAACATATATACACATACTTGAACATCAACAAATACATGAAACTGGATTCCAATTTTGAATCATACTACTAACTCCTATACCAAAGTATTTAAAATATTCCCCTTCTGAGTACTCTCTTCTACCAACAATACCTTGAATTGACTTAACACTAATTTTAATTTACACTGTTTTTTGGTTTACACTGTTTTTTTAATTTATTTATTTACTTATCAACAATCAGTGTTGTTCTGCACAATATCTCTATGTTACAAACAATGAGAGAAGTAAAAACCAACTACTTGCTTTCCACTTTTCAACAGCTCAACAATTCAAAAGTTAAACACATTTTTTTTTACTATTTTCACCCTTTAGAATTTAAGGCTCCTAAAACTATTTCATTTTACCAAGACAAACCTCTCATAACTACTCAAACCCTTGCTTAGTTCTTGACAGTTTAGTACATTCACTAGTATTATCTTCCTTCTAATTATAAATTGAGCAGCCAAAAATACACACATTTACCAACTGATAACAAACCTTTCACATTATTATTAAAAATCACCACATCTTTCTATCTACCCTTATCCCAATTTACCCTAACCCTTTATATTAGAAACTCAAACATTTCAGATACATATCAACCTACACAAAACATAACCTATCACGAAATTATTCTATCTATTAACATGCATTTTCACATACCACCTCCTTAAAATTTTTCCAAAACTAAAGACTCAACCATTTCATTCTGGACACCACTCAGCTATCACCAACCATAACTTATCAACATCTTACTCTATTGGCTATTTCGTTAAAACAGGCTTTTTAAGGTCAGATTTTCCCAGCTAGACATATTTCAGCAACAGCAAGCATTTTACACTATCATATAATTTAATTTGTCTCCTATAAATCAATAATCTGGTTTTTTGAAGTAACATGTCTGCATGCCTTTTTTCTTTGATTGTGTGGAATTTTTTTCCTAGCCTCTTTCTTTCAGCTTTCTGCCATCCTATTGTTCATCTTTAATTTTCTTCCATGATGTTTTTCCCTCTTTTTTTCTGATTTTTCTTGACCTCTAAAGAAAAGTCTTTGTACATTTTTGTTTAGTGTCTCAGTTTTTAAATAGAAGGGCTTTGTTAATTTTTTCCCCTTTACTTTAGTTGCTGTAACTTGTAATTCAAGGCATTCTTTCGTTGGGGAGCATCCTGTAGTCTCTACATCTTTTTCAGTAAACTGTCCTGCGTTTCCCTCTTCCTTGTGTTGAAGTTGTAACCTACATGTCATTTCTGTAAATTTTACACAAACTTCGTCTTTAATTGGCGTAGGTTGGGACTCTGTACATTCTTCTATTTGGTTCTTTTTCTTTATTTCTAATTGTGGGTTATGCGTTGTTTCTATGAAGTCTGCACAGGCTTTTTCAATACCCTTTTGTATCTGTTCCCTTAAAATCTTCAGGAACTGTTCCACAGACAAGTCTCCCACAAGCGTGTTCCCATCCATTTCCTCCTCCTCTTGTCTTATCAAAGCCATTTTAAATACGCAGTTCAATTTAATTCACACAAGCTCTTATACTTATTCAAAATAGTTAACGTATTTCCTGTCCATTTTGCCTAATAAATCCTTGCCAAGGGAGAAAGAGAGCAAAAGAAAAAAAAAGTTCTCCATGATTGCCGGCGCTCCGGAAGGAAAACATTCAAGCCACTTCCAATCCTCTTCTGGCCGCTAAACCTCTCCTTTTCGGGCTGATAATTTAAGGGAAATATCTGCACCAATCTTATCTATTTCAAAATTAGAAGTAGTTGTACTCACAATTTCGCTTCTTGAGCATCTTCTGCATTACCACTTAGGAAATTCAATCCAAACACAGTCAAAAACGGGTGGCGGCGGCTGCGTAGAACATGGCGACCATGCTCCTCCCATAGACCGCTCCTGCTTCGAGGCAAATAATGGACAGCCCACCCCCCGCATTTGCCAGCTGCAGGAGGGGCCAAAACAGAGCCCCCTGCTCCAGACCTCTTCCCGGGAGATCTGGCAGAGCTCTTCTGGCGACCGGGAGGCTCCAAAAGGAGCGGAAAGGAATCGGGCGGCTCGGCGCGAGCCGAAAACCGCCCCTCACCGTGCCATTGACCCGGAAATCTCAAGAGTACCCTTCTGTTAAGAGTACCCTTCAAGTTGAACTCTCGTGTTGCAAGAAACCTCTCTCTGTGCTAAGTGGAAACTTTTGCCCAAATGGGCTCATTGCTTGGGGTGCTAAAGCCCAATAATGAACACGGTCAGTTGGGATTCCAAAAGCAGACAGAACATTTATTGCAGTAAACAGAGACCCTCAGGGTAGCAAAGAGATTCCCAAGAAGTCCGCCCCTGAGGTTAACAATGAGCTATTTTATACCATAAAAGAAGCCGTTTTTGGGCATGTGCAGATGTCTTGTTACGTCATAGTTATTTGATTTCCTATATACCTATTTAAGGTTTATCATAGCTAAGCAGGTGAATCAGACATACATTTCACCATATAAGTGCTTTCGACCTTTATATCATGGGGCTTTCCAGTTCCTTAAATATTCCTTCCAAGTAAGTGTTTGTATCACCGTTACCAGACTGTGGTTTTGTCACAGGCCATCAGCTTGTGGTTGGGGCATCCTGATCAGTCAGCTCAAGCTGTGTATCCTTGGTTAGCTTTATAGGGTCAGCATTGGCCTCATTTTTTCAGGCCCTACCTTGGCATTACCTTACCTTTGTCAGGCCAGGCCTTGTTACCTGGCTCATCAAAAGCACCAGCCAACCGCAAGCCTCGGCGGGCAGTCACCTTGCCCACTTTTCCTGAAAAATGTGGTGGGTGCCGTGCTGGGGAGTGGTGCTCAGGAGACCCACCTGTGGCTCCCAAGCCACTGAGTATTCGCTGCCCATAAACAGTGCAAACAAAGGACTACAAAGGGAGAGGAGAGTGCAGTAAAAGCAAGGTGATCCCTACAGTAAATGCTGCAATAGACTCTAATCCTGTTCACTGATAAAGGCACCCTCCTGGCCTGTTCCACCGTCCCTCCATTCTGATCCCTTTATCAAAATGCCTTCCTGAACCCGTCTCTTTCGCACATCCTGCAGAATGACAGGAGTTCAGACTTGAGCTGTCTGAACCCTCATCCCACACAGCTACCAGTACCCACTTCGAGTTCTTTTATGGAAGGATGGCTGGAATCTAGGGTTTCCATATTTTGAAAAGCTAAAGTGTTTCCCAACTGATTGCTTCAAACAAGTGATCACTGCGACAAATCTCATGTTAAATACCCCGACTATTTGAGCTGTGATAAGTGCTACTAACTAGGAGTATTCCTAACCTTCCAACTCAAAAAGAGGACATTTTCATCAGTTGTTTAAAAAGAGCCCAAAACAGGAAGGATATGGGGGGGGGGGAGGAACAGGACATCTGGTAACCCTACTTAAATCTTTTAGTAGATAAAGTGTCAAGCAGCCAGTTCCATAGATACTAAAACACTGGTACCTTGGAGCTCTGGTACTTTAAAAGAGCTTCAAATCTTAAATGGCTTGTCATTTACAGTGAAGGGTAACGTAACGTTGAAGTCAATGAACTGGGAAGGATGCAACTCGGCCTAAGATGGCGCTCTTTACCTATGTAGCAGGCTACCATCAATCATTGTCGCTTGCCTGTACTGACAAGTCCTGCATGGCTAACAATAATGTAGCCTGGGAAGCAATGAGGCAGATGTACAGAACTGTTGAATATAATCAGCATGACCTAAGGAACAAGAAAGTCTGAATCCCATTACTGTATCCTGCAGAAATTCCTGGCAATGAGGGAGCCAAGAAAGTCTCAGTGAGAAAGGCAGGCTATAAATGAAGTTCTTCTTGTTGTTGTTGGTATCATTATTATTAATTAAGGTAATGGAGTTTAGCCCTGACCTGGGTAGCCCGGCTAGCCTGATCTCATCAGATCTCAGAAGCTAAGCAGGGGTTGGCCCTGGCTAGTATTTGGATGGGAGACCTCCCAAGGAATACCAGGGTCATGATGCAGAGGCAGGCAATGGCCAACCACCTCTGAACATCTCTTGCCCTGAAAACCTTACTAGGGGTCACCATAAATCAGCTGTGACTTGACTGCAAACAACAACAATGGGGTTTGGGGGTATCTGTTGTGTTTGGTATTTGAAAAAAGTGGTTTTCTGTATGTACTAAGGCACTGTTAACCTGCCTTAGCCTTTCAGACTCAGCAAGCAAGGAAAATGTATAGATACATGAAAAATAGTTACCTGTATCACACAAAGAGGTACCAGAATACCAAGTTAAAGAGTGCAGCTGAAAACAACAACAAACGTTTATACAGATGCTGAACTGAAAATAGCAACCAAAACACCTTTCTGTCCTCTTGTATACTGTTTCTTGCAGTAGGTAGATGACACTTCATTTTCTTGGCATATTATAAAAAAAAACCCCACCCAACACTTTCCTCAACAGTGTGAGTCTTGGTTATATCAGATAGGCTAGAAGGAGCAAACTGTAGAAGAGGATCTCTCCTGGGACTGTGCCTAAAACCCTCTCCTATCTTCCTCAATTGTGGCAAAGCCCCGAGGCTTTGTTTACCATTCATGGTAATCCCCTTAAGCACTAATCCCTGTACTGGTGAGCATGGCAGGTGGTTTGGTGTGGAGTACCCAGAGCGGGCAGCTGAAATGTCTCCGGGTGTAAAATGAGAGAGAGTTCTGTGGAAGACGAAAAGGGGTTTCTGTAGCCAAGTTTTAAACTGGAAGGATGAACAGTCATGCCATCTCTTTGGCTGTTTTCAGCTCCCCAGTCCAAGACGCATCCTGAATCTGGAATTAATACAAAACTTCTGAGGGCTTTTCAGTTTTGTCTGATTATCTGTACTCACCGAATTTTTCAGTCACTCACAGTGCAATCCTAGTTATACATTTCTTAAATTCACTGAAGTCAAAGGGGCTCAGGTGGGTATACCTCTACTAAGAGTTGCACTGTCAGTTTCCAAGCAAAGTAATAGTATAAGAAGAGCCCTGCTGGATCAGCCCAGTGGTCCATCTAGCCCAGCATCCTGTCTTGTGCAGTGCCCAGCAGTCGCTATGGAGGGCCAACAACAGGGAACAGAGGCCGAGGCCTTCCCCTGATGTTTCCTCCTGGATGTGGGATTCAGAGGTTTAATGCCTCTGAACATGGAGGTTCTCTTTAGTCACCATGGTTACTAGCCACTGATAGATCTATGCTTCATGTAGAGTTCCCACGCTGAGCTTCACATCATGTGTAAATAGGTGTCATGTGCAGCCCATGGCCTGGAGCATTCCAGAGGTCATATTAAAATCTATGACTTTCTTGGAAAGCATGTTCTGCGTATAACCCGCTCACTGAGTATATTAGCATATGCTTTTAAGCCTGAGAAGCTCATCTCATGTCATAGAAATGTAGCATTATAATTTTAAAAATTGCTGCTTCTGCTTTTTGGCTGCAAAAGCTGTGAGTGACGCAATGCATGTACACGGGTGTGTATATGTATGTAGAATTGTATGTATGTCTTTGCAGGTTCCCAAGCCAACAGGTGTCAAGAAAGGATGGCAGCGGGCCTACGCTGTGGTCTGTGACTGTAAACTCTTCCTTTACGATGTGCCTGAAGGGAAGTCCACCCAGCCTGGAGTTGTTGCAAGTCAGGTGTTGGATCTCAGGTCTGTGCTGGTTCTTTCATTACAGCGGTCTGTCCTTTGCATGACAGATTTACACCCTTTGAAAGCGCGCACACACACAAAAAAAACACAGGACCATCCAGTTAATTTTCAGTTTGGGTGATGAAATAGCAGTGCTGCGCTAATAAAGCATCTCAGGAAAACTTAGGCCATGTTTCTGTGCAGACCTTGGTCCCCGATGTCAAACAAGAGCAGCCCCTCGGATTCCCATACGCTTTTGGCCTGCTCTCTTCCTCCCACAAAAGCTCATCCTGGAATAAACGTAGTTAAACCTCTTTTGTTTTACTGCGGTAGATTATCATGGCCACCTCTCTGGAGCTTCCTCTGTCTGCCTGCTTTCCTCATGTGAAAGGAATTGTATGGCCTAGCGCGATATAGGGCTTATCTCTACCCGCGTTCTCCCGAGATAGGGCTTATCGGCACCCACGTTTTCCCGATCTAGGGCTTATGTGTACCCATGTTCTCCCGATAGTGGGCTTATCTGTACCCATGATCTCTCCGATCTGATGAACCTAGAATTCCATCTGGTCAAGCGTCACTGCTTAGCTATGGAAAGGGGAGCGGGGCTGATTAACTTTTGCTCCATTCAGTGACTCTTGTCATTTGATTTCTTCCCAGAGATGAAGATTTCTGTGTGAGTTCTGTCCTAGCATCAGATGTTATACACGCAACCCGCAAAGATATCCCTTGTATATTCAGGGTATGGTTATTTGATCTGTTTGTTTAAACTGGGGTGGGGGGGCGCGGGGGGGCTCGTACATGTATATATTGTAACCCTTAACCGTGGACTGTGTTGCATTGAATAACTGTGTTGCTCAGGTTGTTGTTGTTGTTGTTGTGTTGTGTTTTTTAAGCCTGTTTTACTGAATGGTTTTGAATTGGCAAAGAGGAGTATTATAAAGTTGAATAAAAGGAGCTTGAAACGCTCAGCAGGGTGTTTTACAGTTTGCCACTTTACTGTCTGTGAATGGTTCCTAATATTCTCTTACGGAAATTGATGGCATTGTCCCTCAGAGTAAGCCAGCAAAAGCTGGAGACGATGGGACAGCACTGAAATACATTTACAGGATGATTTCACAATCCTGCCACACATACTGCATACACAAGATTCAGAAATTTGCCCGGGGGCAGGCAGTAGGTATCTTACACCTGGCTGTTTACAGTTCAAGCCTGCTGGGGCCCAGACAGAACTCATTTTTCTCAGTCCAGAAGTAATTGCTCGGGTTCTCTGCACCCTGCTGTCTTGGCTAATGACTCCGGAAGTATAGTAGCAGACAGCCCCGATGAATTTGGATAGGTGATGTTTTGTGCAACCTGAGCGACTCGTTTAAGCAATCTGTAGAAAACATATAGATTACCAAAGCGCCACGCAGTTGCCTGGTCATGTGTGTTCATCCTGCCATGCGCTAAAGATTAAAAATTAAATAGTACAGAGTTGAAACTTTGGGGAGAGGTTCATTTTGAAAACTCCCTCCCCTGTGGAAAGCATATCAATAGGGGTTGTTGTTTTTTTGCATTCCTTTGCAAAAAGGTTTAGAAGTGTTTGCAAGAGGTTAGGAGAGCCAGCATGGTGTAGTGGTTAAGAGCAGTGGACTCGAATCTGGAGAACTGGGTTTGGTTCCCCACTCCTCCCCCACATGAGGCCTGCTGGGTGACCTTGGGCCAGTCACAGTTCTCTCAGAACTCTCTCAGCCCCACCAACCACACAATACAACGTGATTGTTGTGGGGAGAGGAAGGGAAAGGCGATTGTAAGACGCTTTGAGACTCCATAGGGTAGAGAAAACGAGGGTATTTAAAAACCAACTCTTCTTATGGGATATTAGGGCAAATGTGTCCCTGTTGACAAGGCATTTGAGCCATTATTTATTGAAATGTGCTTTTACAAGCTTAAAGTATCATGTGTGATTGACAGAATGGAGATGCGGGATACGCATCAGAAAGCGCACCCTACTGAAAGCAATGCAGTACAGGTAGCTAACGTTTGCACTTGGAAATATTCGAGTGCAAAAATTCTCTGTTCTGTTAAAACTGAGTGGAGAAATAATGATTAAGTCAGACTAAATGTGGATTCCAATAAACCAATCCTTTTAAAGAATCGTTTTCAGTAAAATCCGGTCCTTGCATCTGGAAAGTCGTCTTCTTTTTCCAAGGCACCGCATTGTCATGTCTTTGCTGGTTGCTGCAGCCAATGCAAGGGCTTCTCCTGTGCTGTTGAAAGAACAGATTTCACTCAGGCTGTTATCGTTTTGCCTCTTCTGGCTGTCAAGGTGACAGCTTCTCTCTTAGGCTCGCCTTCAAAGACCTGCTCTCTGCTGATCCTAACGGAAAACGAGAACGAGAAGCGAAAGTGGGTTGGAATCCTGGAGGGGCTGCAGTCTATCCTGCACAAAAACAAGCTGAAAAACCAAGTTGTACATATTCCACAAGAAGCCTATGACAGCACACTGCCTCTCATTAAAGCCAGCCTGGCTGCCGCTATTATAGGTACGTGGACTATAATGAGAATACTGGGAGCTGCAGACGGGGGCCCGTGTGTTGCGCTGCTGCGGCATCCTTAAATACATTCCTCATCTGTATCGCTGCCTCGAGAAGCGTGGCAGTGTGACATTCACTAATTGATTTTGAAAAGCTAATTATGATTAACTCTGCTGGCAGGAGGCATCTGCAGTGCTTGAATAAATTTTGTTTGTTTCCGTGCCCATTGCTTCGTGCTTAAGGGTGGGAAATAGCTTAACTCCTACAAACAGGCAAAGCCTTAAAGTATAATTGTGAAGATGGATGGATGGATGGATGGATGGATGGGGATAGCTATAGTTAGATAGACCCTGACCTGGATGGGCCAGGCTAGCCTTATCTCGTCATATCTCGAAAATTAAGCAGGGTCGGCCCTGGTTAGTATTTGAATGGGAGACCAACATGGAATACGAGGGTCACTGCGCTGAGACAGGCAATGGCAAACCACCTCTGAACATCCCTTGTCTCGAAAACCCTACAGGGTCAACATGAGTCAGCTCAGCTATGACTTAATGCCACTTTCCACCAAAACCACCATCGATATCCACCCCCCCCCCCAGCAGGCCTACTTCATTACTCATTCTTAGAAATTTGGATCCAGTTTGTTGTAGTGGTTAGGAGCGCAGACTCTAATCTGGAAGAACCGGGTTTGATTCCTCACTCCTCCACATGCAGCTGGTCAGTTCCAAGTTCTTTCAGAGCTGTTCGCTCAAGAGCTGTCCTCGAAAGAGCTCTCTCAGCCCCACCTCTACCCCCCAGGGTGTCTGTTGTTGGTGGAAGGAAAGGAGATGGTAAGCTGCTTTGAGACTCCTTCGGGTAGTGAAGGGCGGGGTATACATTCAATCTCTTCTTTCATATTTTCATCTCATCTCGTGGCTAGACCCCTTTAGGGGTGGCTGTAAAAACAGTCCACCGCTTCGGGTAGTGAAGGGCGGGGTATACATTAAATCTCTTCTTCTTTCATATTTTCATCCCATCTCGTGGCCAGACCCCTTTAGGGGTGGCTATAAAAACAGTCCACCTAACACATGAGAACAATCGGAAGTAACCAGTGCAATATGACATAATGCTAAGCCCAATTAAAAAACGCAGGGCACGTAGCAGGAAGTGTACTTTGCAAGGCTAGAGAGAGCGATCCGGCTCCCCATCCCAGTGTGGGCTGGACTAGAAACCTCTTAAGTTGTTTCACCAAGATAAGAAGGGATTTAGCCTGGTGGACTTCCCTTGGCAGGGAGGGCAGCTGCTGCAGCAGCCAAGATAGACTAGCCCCTTATCCCCACTGCAGTAAGAGAGAAGAGAAGCTGAATCCTCCTGCCAAGGTTTTGGAGTGTCCAGGGAGGCTGATACGGAAGAGAAGCGTGTTCTTGAGTCTCCTGGGCCCAGGCTGCTTTAAAAGCTGCGGAGGTCTAAACCAGCAAGTTAAATTGTGCCCAGAAATAGATGCAGAGCTTCTGCCGTCCTTTCCGCATAGATGGAACAGGCTCTCCCAGGCTTACTCCCTGATCAGATGAATGTCCTCCATGACAAAAATAGAAGCTCCCAATTAGAAAACCAGGTATACAATATTCATCCACTTTATACATCCCGCCTTTCAGAAGTACTCTCAAGATGGCAATATTTTTTCTTCTCCCCCCCCCCCGGTCCCTTTCCGCTTACCATTAGATCGGGATAGAATAGCAATCGGTTCCGAAGAAGGCCTCTACGTCATAGAGGTGACCCGTGATGGTAAGTGACATTTCTTGCTAATTCAGCCATTGTATATAATCAGTAAAACAGTAAATCACCGTGTACAATTAAACAATATTTGTTAGTTTTTATATGCTATGTGTAGAATTCAGTTATTAACAAGATTACAACAATATCACTACAGTATTAAGATATAAAGCTTAGCAGTACATACAAAGTAATACAGTTACTAGTTACAGAAACAATTAAGACGAACGACGGAGTTCTAGTACACTATCCGTTTGCGTGTCCTTCATCAGGTTTGTCATTCTGTTATTGTTTCTTCACAAGCATGAAGTGCTGCAAGCTGCAATGTTGTATATTTGTATATTTAATGGCAAATCCCTTGTGTTGTAATGTGTTGTACGGTGTTCCTTCACTTACTGAGCCTGTTACTGATAAAGAGATGCTCACTCTTCGTTACTGTCTTGTTCAGTAATGAAGGCAAATAGTGCCCTTTTTGGCATTGTGGGTGACAGAATTCCCGCTTCAAAGAAAATCAGAACTCTTGTACCACTCGGGATCCCCCAGTTTGCAAGGAGACAAACCAAGGTGAACCTGGCCTTTTCCTGCCAATACGAGCGTAACATCTGTTCCTGACAATTGCGGCACATACAGGGCGAAACTAAATGGAGCAGCACCAATGCCATTTTAGAGGAGAAAATAGCCATTTAAAAATTGGATGGTGGCAACAGGCGATCTTGTTCTACCCCCTACATACACGCAAGCCCGCCTCTTAGAAAGTGCAAAGGAACAAAACAAGATCACCTGTAAGTGCCACACTGCAGGCCTGATCACGATCGGTGGTGGCAATTTTTAAATGTCTGTTTTCTCCTCTAGAAGGGTACCAGTGGCTACGGGTTGGCCCCGTGGCTGCCATCACTTTTAGGTTGTCCCAGTAATCAAACAAATGTGACTAGCATATATGCTGGCTTGCCAGCAATGAGGGCTACTGTAGTTTGCTTTACATGGGGCCATCTTTGAAGTCACCCCAAAATCTTTGGCTAGCCCAGAACACAGGGGCACATGTTTTATCTGGTGCTAGCCACAGATGCTTGGGGGGGGGTCAACAGTGGGAGGGCTTCTAATGTCCTGGCCCCACTGGTGGACCTCCTGATGGCACCTGGTATTTTTGGCCACTGTGTGACAGAGTGTTGGACTGGATGGGCCTTTGGCCTGATGCAACATTGGCGTCTCTTATGTTCTTATGTTAACTTTCCGTAAGCTTTGTTTTTTCCAGTTTGCGCCTATGCCAAATTTAAGGACTGAAGCTTAGTTTTTTGAACCTCCAGTGTTAAGTGCTAGAACACAACATCAAGAGAAGGCCTTGGCCTCTGTGTCCTCTTTATGGACCTCCAGAGCAACTGGTTGGCCACTGGGGGAAACTGAATGCTGGACGAGATGGACCACCGGTTTGTTCTTATGTTCATACATTCTGTAGGATATGGAAAGAGAGGAAAAATGATTTACGGTGCAGCCCTGAACAGAACTGCACCATTCTAAGTCCACTGAAGTAAATTAGCTTATAAGGGTTTAATCTTCTTAGGATTGCACTGCTGGTGGTGGTGTTCTGAAGTTCTGATTTCTTACATTGTAAGCCAACTAGTTGTAAGTCTCTAGTTCCAGCTCCTGCCAACCTAGCAGTTCGAAAGCAAGAAATTGCAAGTAGATAAATAGGGACCACTTCAGTGGGAAGGTAACAGCGTTCCATGCGCCTTGGGGTTTAGTCATGCCGGCCACATGACCACGGAAACGTCATCGGACAGCGCTGGCTCTTCGGCTTTGAAACGGAGATGAGCACCGCAACCCTAGAGTCGGACTCGACTGGCTTTCGAGCAAGGGAACCTTTACCTTTACTTTTAAGCCAACATTGCCCTGACCTGGATGGCCCAGGCTAGGCTTGACCTCATCAAAGCTCAGAAGCGAAGCACCGTCAGCCCTGGTTACTATTTGGATGGGAGGGACCACCAAGGAGGTCCCGGATTGCTGTGCAGAGGCAATGGCAGGCCACCTCTGTTCATCTCTTGCTTTGAAAACCCTGTGGGGTGACCATGAGCCAACTGAATTGACAGCGCAAAATAAAAAAAAACTGACATTGAGTGCCTTTCAGGTGAGTGAAGTATGAAGATAAATGATAGTAATAAAATAATGTCAAGACAACATTGGCTTCCCAGTCCGGTGATATTGCAGCAAGTGCACTAAGCTTTCTAAGAAACACCCTGCTGGATCTCGTGGTCCATGCAGTCCAGTATTGTGTTCCACGCAGTGACCGCCCAGTTGCCCTGGAGGGCTAGCATGTTGCTTCCTGCTACTGGTATTCAGAAGCTGACAATGCAAAAATCAATTTCTTTTTGGTGCTCAATTATTTTTACACCCTCCTTCCGTTGTTTCCTTTGTTTTCCCTTCATGTGATGTGGTTCCCATCTCCATCTCCCAGTACGCTTCTTCCCGTTTTGCTTACATTGCAGCTCTTATTCTTGTTCTGAAATTAATGGGCTGTAGCCAACATTTCTCAGTGTCTGACCTCTGCGCTCACACCTTGAGTCCTTCTCCCGGGCAGACAGCCAGCTAAGTGGCCACGTTGCTTCCCCCCCCTTCCACGGAGAAAAATTTTGACTCCTTCTCTGTATCTTTCTTAAGAGGGTCAAGGGAGTTCTGCTGTGCTGACGGAAGTGCCGTCTGTTAGTGGAACATTTAGTCTGGATCTAGCCCTTACAGCATAACTCTGCTGCTTTTAAACATGGCAGAGCATTGCTAAGTTCCCCCTCTTTGTTGTTCCAGCAGCATCTGTTAAGAGCAGATCTCCTCAGTCAGACTGGAAGTTCACTTTGGTTAGTTCCCAAATCGCCACAAACACAGATAATGCCACTATGGCACTAATCACTCATCCGCCCTGGGCATGCAGACATTGCCCTACCAGTATCATTGATGACCTTGTAGTTTGCACAGCTTGGTAAGGTGCCGTTGTCTTCATGCTCCCCTCTGCATATGTCCATGCTCCCTCGAACGCTAAAACAGCAAAGCGCAAGAAGATACCATATTTAACATGCTGCACTCGTAGCAGCTGGAACCTTTGGCACCAGGGATGTTTGCCGAGAACGGCGCTATTGACTGTGAAGTGAGAAACCTGACAGAACTGTGCAAGCAATTTTTTTTTGTTTAAACTCAGTACAGCAAATAATAACCAGAGTACTACTTGTGTGTGAAGGTGAAACAGTGGCGATAAAGAATTAATGAAGGATGGTGTGTGGTTTGTGACTTGGCACGCCGAACACAGGCCCTGCTCTTCCACCCCAGCAAGTCTGTCTGTCCTTCTTACACGTGTGTGCACGTTTATTCAGTTAGGCAAGCAACAAGGAGCTTGTTGAGGCATTTACTACATTTATACCCCCCCTTTCTCCCCAGTGGGGACCAATGTTCCCTCTAAGCCGTGGAGTCCTGTGAGCGAAAATTCTACTGTGTGAGCTACTGGCATTAATGTTGTGAGCGAGCGATTTGGCTACTGCATTAAATTAGTTTGCGCTGGAGCCATCCTTCCTGAGCTAAGACAAAAATGCGTGAGCAGGAGGCGGACAAATCTGTGAGCTAGCTCACACTAACTCAGCTTAGAGGGAACACTGGTGGGGACCCCAAACAGCTCTCTGGCTGACCCCCTGATGGCACCTGGATTTTGGCCGCTGTGTGACACAGAGTGTTGGACTGGATGGGCCACTGGCCTGATCCAACATGGCTTCTCTTACATTCTTATGTCCACATTGTTCTCTTTTCCGTTTTATCCTCACAACAACTCTGTCAGGTAGGTTAGACTGAGAGTGTCTGAGTGATCCAAAGTCACCCATGGCAGAGTGGGGACTGTAACCCTTATCTCCCAGATCCATTCCAGCACTCTAACCACTACACCACACTGGCTCTCTGTCTTTAGCTGAACAACTGCGCTGTGGGATGTTAAGCTAGGGACCATGGAAACATGCTCCTGTGGAAATGTCAGTATTATCGGTATTTTTTGGATTTTTTTTTTAAGCCAGTTACTGAATGGGGCTGCATTTCAGCCCTAAAATTTCAGGGTTTTCAGGCCCACTGAATAGCCAAACTTAAAGGGCATTTAAAGAGATTGCCATCGCTTTAAATGCCTTCTTCAAGCCATGTAACCCCGTGGCACATTTACCTGGAAGGTATTTAAAGGGCTTACAGTCCCTTTAAATGCCTTCCTGTTGAATTCGCCACTTGGAGAAGGCATTTAAAGGGGCTGCGTTCTCTTTAAATGTGTTTTCCCCCACCATTGGAAACAATGGAGGATGGAGGCACCTTCTTCTGGGGCCCATAGAATTGGACCCCCTAGTACAATCCTTTTTAAACTTGGAGGGGGGGTTAGTCTATAGGGCCCATTGACTATAATGGTCCCCATAGGGTATAACGGAGCTGGGGGGAAATCAGCTTTCCTGAATATTTACCGAATCCAAATACCATAGTGGTATTGTGATTTGGGAATATTGGAAAATACTGATATTTTTCGGGTTCGATATACCTGAACCTGAAAAATACCGTGTGTGGGTTTTTTGCACCCCCTTAGTACTGGGTCCTAGTGCCTGCCTCTAATGCATTCATTGCCGGCACAGCAAAGTTTGTTGAAAAATGTCACTGTTATTAGAAACCACGTCTGTACTCCAATCACTACACCACACTGGCTCTCATGTGTGGGATCAGTATACAGAACTGCTAGCTTTACTGGTTTACTGGTTATACAAGCTTCCTTTGCTCAGTTCACATTTCCCCTTCTTTGACAGCCAGTACCATGAAACAAGCATAGCTTTTGAGAAAGTACCTTAAATGTCAGCAGTGAAAATGAAGAGGAGGCAGCTGGCTGGCTGGGCCTTCGCTCAACATGGCGTTCTCCAGCCAGTGAATAATTGGAACCGAGTGCCATTTCTCTGGGTTACAGAGATAGTTCTTCCCTCTCTTTCTCTCTTGTCTGTCTAGAAGTCAAGGGTAGTTTCCAGACA